TATGTAATATCTTCAGTTATCTTTAGTTTTGGTGAAAATTAGGTTATTAAAAAATAAAAAAAGAAATAGATTTATCTCTATCAAAATAATCATCTTTGATACAATTGAATTTTAAATCTTGTAGGTTTCTTATTTTTTTAGGTAAGTTTTAAATAATTTACTGTATTTAAATCAAATTACTACATTCAAATTAAGTTCAAGTTAAACATGTTGGAGGGTTGCAAGTAGGGAATACAATTACTCAATTGCCTCAATTTTCATCTACCCAGATTACCCAGATAATAGTTGAAAAAAAAATCAAACAATAAAAATACAAGATAATAAATATATTTTTGTGTATTATGAATAGTTAATATTAGTTCAGATTTCAGTACAGGAACATTTGTTTTAATATGTAGTTATTTTGGTGTATAACTCATCAGTTAAGTTTTGATTCCTTAAAATAATACTTTAAAAACACTAATCCACTTAAAGTTTTGACAGTCAATCTGGAATGTATTTTTGCAGCAAAATTTTAGGCAATTGAAAAAACCCTTTCACAATTTACTGATGTAGGCCTAATGGAAGTGCTTTTTATAATTGTTCCAAGTTATTTGTACTCTTTCCATTTCCTTCAATAATTTTCAGCTCTTTTTTGAGTTACAATAATTTGTGGATTTGTTTTGGTGGTGTTAAAAATGTTAGCAACAAGTTATGAAGAGTGTCTTCACAAAAAGATGCACCTTTCTTTAAATTTTTTTAGATGCACCTTTCTTTAAATTTTTTTAAGTTTATTGAAGACAAAAATCATAGTTTCTTTGGAAATTTACCTCATTTTTACTTAATTTAAACACAGCTTCTGCTATAAGTTCCAATATAGCTATATATTTTTGTAATTTTATTTTTTACATTTTATTATCAAAACTTTTTTACTTTTTAAATATAATTATAATATAATTATTTTTCAATACAAGGTATGAAAACAATAAAACAAAAGTAAAATAATAATTTTTTTTTTAATAAATAAAATTCTGCATTGCAAATTAAATAATCATTATGCTGGAATAATTGGAGAAATGTGGCTTGATATAAAATGCTTTTATTTTTTAGTTAATTTCTTTTCCAATAGACTTTGGTTGCAACGATTTTGAAAAATCCTTCCAACTATAAACATAAATAACATAAGAATAAAATACTCGTACCCAGGTATATGGTGCTATACCCAGGTATATGATGTTATACCCAGGTATATGATGCTAAAACCTAGGTATCGAGTTACTCTGGATTTTAGTGATTACTTGGAATACCCAGATAGTTTACCCGGGATTGTATTCCTAAGTTACAAGTCAAACGTGTTGGAAGATTGCAAATCAAACATGTTTGAGGGTTACAAGTCAAATTTAAAATAGATTATTGATGGTATTAGGAGATAGAAAAAAAATATCATTACTTTTTTTTAAGATGATAAAAGATCTTAAAAATATTAGCCATTATTGAATATATTTTGTGTTTTAGTTTATGTTTATTTTAGCCTATTAAATATACTTTTTGTTTTAGTTTATGTTTATCTTAGTCTATTAAAACATTTTAATAATAATTATTAAGTATGATTGATGCGGGTTATGGTGAGATTAAAACTAAAAATTTGATTGAAACAAATCACAAAAAGTCGAGGATAATAAAACTATATAATTAGTTTCAATGTTTTTAAAATAAAAATGAATGAATTTAAAATACAAATAAAAAAGAAGTTAAAAAAAATAAAACTTACCCCAGGCCCCAATTGCTTTTCATAACCTGTCATAGATTCAAACTAAAAATAATGCATATAGCTGCAACATGAAAAAAATTTAAACTTTCTGCTTATTTTTAGAAAACTATTCAATTAAATATTTTTAGTTAACATATTCATTATCGTAGATCATGTTATTTGATCATGAATAAAATCTTTAGCAAAAAGTAATTGAAATAAAAATCTATGAATGTTTTAAAATTTTAAACAAGAAATTAAATAAAAAGAATATATATATATATATATATATATATATACATATATATATATATATATATATATATATATATATATATATATATATATATATATATATATATATATATATATATATATATATATATATATATATATATATATATATATATATATATATATATATATATATATATATATACATACATAGTACATATATATATATAGTATATATAAATAAAAAAAAAATATATATATATATAATATATATATAAATTAAAATATATATATATACATATATATATATATATATATATATATATTTTTTTTTTTAAATTTATATATACTATATATATATATATATATATATATATATATATATATATATATATATATATATATATATATATATATAATATATATATATATATATATATATTATATATATATGTACTATATATATATATATATATACATATATATATATATATATATATATATATATATATATATATATATATATATATATATATATATATACTATATATATATATATATTTTTATTTATATATATATTTTATTTATTTATATATATATACTACATATATATATATATATATATATATATATATATATATATATATATATATATATATATACTATATATATATATATATATTTATTTATATATATATTTTATTTATTTATATATATATACTACATATATATATATATATATATATATATATATATATATATATATATATATATATATATATATATATATATTTATACTATATATATATATATATATTTTTATTTATATATATATTTTTATTTATATATATATTTTATTTATTTATATATATATACTACATATATATATATATATTTTTTTTTTTCTTTTTTATTTATATATATATTTTATTTATATATATATATACTATATATATATGTATGTATGTATATATAGTATATATATATATAAATAAAATATATATATGTATATATATTTTATTTATATATATATATACTATATATATATGTATGTATGTATGTATATATATATATATATATATATACTATATATATATATATATATATTTTTATTTATATATATGCTTTTATTTATATATATATTTTATATATAAATAAAAGCATATATATAAATAAAAATAAAAGACTGCCTGCCCAAACCAAACCCTCAGTCGATGTAGCAGCACTCCCTTGTGAGTCAGGTTATTTGTCAGTCGATGTAGCAGCACTCTGTTGCAAGTCAGGCTATATGTCAGTCGATGTAGCAGCACTCCGTTGCGAGTCAGGCTATAAGATAGTCGATGTAGCAACATTTACGCATGTTTTAAAAATGTTTTTAATAAAACAAAAACAAAAACACCACTAATTAAAAAAAACTTTCTAGTCATTATTATTGCGGTTTTTTTTAAAAACAATAAAATTTAATGTACTTTCGCATTAATTTAATTTAATTGACATTTGGATGACAATCAAATACAGCTTAAGAGACGAGGTAATAAAAATTGTAGTCGAAAGAGACTTTTTTTACCATAAAAGTCTTTTTGACTACACTATAAGGATATATATATATATATATATATATATATATATATATATATATATATATATATATATATATATATATATATACATACATATATATATATATATATATATATATACATATATATATATATATATATATACATATATATATATATATATATATATATATATATATATATATATATATATATATATATATATATACATATATATATATATAAACCACATATATAAATAAACAGTTATACCCAAAAAGATCAAAAACATATATTGATAGAATTTTTTTTTGTTCTGTATAGTGCACGCATTTATTACTAGAAAATGTTAAAAATCAAAAAACAACAACATAAAAAAATTAGTCATAACACAAAACATGTTTTAGTGTATGGGCTCATCAAACATTTAGAATAGTCTCTATTTTTCACAGCATTTAGAAAACAAGACACTCAGGATATTTGGGCATTATCTTGTGACACCAAGTTTTCATTGTGGTTTTTCTCAGATATATACGGATGCACTATTATAGCCTAACCAATGATTTTTGTATTCCATATTTTTTCTAATTGTCCAAATTTGTTCTTATTTCATATGAAAATTATTTGTTATAATTTTTTTATGATGTGTCTTAAAAGTAATGAACAAATACAGCTTGTGAAATTGTATTATGAAAAAGAGCTGTCTGTGACAAATTTGTGAATAGCAGAAATTAAAAAGTAGACACTCTCCCTGAATAGAAACATAGTGTTGACAGTTGCTCAAAAATTTGCATGTTCTGGTTCAGTGCTTAACTTAAAGGCACTACTTTGTTTTAAGTTTAAAGATACTTTGTTCACAGCCGCTTCAGTTAGCAACAAGTATTGCCAGAAAATGAAAGAAAGTGTTGAACGAAGTCCACGGAAATTGGTTAGACATTAGACAACCCACAAAAAATAGAAGTGTGTCCTCTTTATTCAAAATGAGTGAATGTCTGGTGTGCTTTATCAGCCAAAGGAGTAATTGGTCCTCGTTTCATTGAAAATGATGCCGGACAAACAGTTACAGTGACTGGTGTCTGCTACCAACATATGCTAAAAAACTTTTTATGATCTATTTTCTATGATGTAGACCTAGAAAACATATTTTTTTAGCAGAATGGTGCTAGATGCTACACAGCTTGAGATAAAGGGATTTTTATTCTGTTGGGATTTGTTAAACAAAACGCCTATGCTAATACTATGAAAACAATTGATGACCTCAAGATTAAGATTACTGATGTTATTAATGAAGTTTTGTGTAATATTGTGATTGAAAATTTTGTATATATACATATATATATATATATATACATACATATATATATATATATATACATATATATATATATATATATACATATATATATATATATATATATATATATATATATATATATATATATATATATATATATATATAAATATATATATATATATATAAATAAATATATATACATATATATATATATATATATATATATATATATATATATATATATATATATATATATATATATATATATATATATATTATAAATACAAAAATAAAAAGGAATAAATTATATTTGAAATATATTGCAAAAGCTATATACAGTGACGCTCAAAAGTCAGTTGACATTTAAAAAAAGTGAATATTTAGACATTATTTAATGAAAGAGAAGATATTTATAGTTATAAAGTATTTAGTTTAATAGAAAACAAAAAGAATGTTTGAAATAAAAATAGAACAGCAGTTGATTAACGTTAGAATGATAAAAAATTAGTTAAAACACAAAAAGGTGCTGCTCAAAAGTTTGTTGACAGCGACAAGAACACAAGATTAAACAAAACAGTTTTGTTATTTTGGTGCAAGTGCAATTTATTTAATATTTGTTGGTCAGCCTTTAACATCGATAACTGCGTGCAAGCATTTTGGTATCGAAAGTACTAATTTTTGAATCAAATTAATGTCAATTTCTTCCCAATGACATTTGATTGTTGTAAACATGTCATTTTTTGACTTTTGTTTTGAGGATTAGTTCTATCCAAGTATTCCCATATATTTTTGATTATATTTAAATCTGACGCTTGAGCAGTAAATTTCATGATCAGCGAACTTAATTTTGTAAATTTCATGATCAGCGAACCATTCTTTGACGATCTTTGCTGTATGTCATTAACCTCCTGCCAGATAAAATTGTCCTCTATCCTTAATTTTGCTGTAGAAGCAAAGACGTTTTGCTGTACAATGTCGAGATAAACTTCTTTGGTCATTTTACCATTGATCAACTTGATAATACCAGGGTCGTTCCATGAAATAGAACCCCACAGCATCACCAACCCACCACCAAACTTGACTGTAGGTATCATATGTTGCATTAAAAACTCCTCATTCTTTTTTCTGAAGACCATTCTTCTTCTCTTTGTCGATTGGAGTTCAAACTTGCATTTGTCTGTCCAAATTATAAATTTCCAGACTTCGAGTGGCAACTTTATATGCATTGTAGCAAACCCCAGCCTCTTTCTTCAATTATTTATAGAGATAAATGGTTTTTTTCGCATCACTTTACCATATAATCCGACATCATTGAGACGTTTTCTAATTGTTTGAGGACTAAATACTAAATTTAATTGGTTTTTAAATTCTATTGAACTCATGTTTGGCGTTTCATCCGATGTTCTAACGATCAGTCTATCATCGTTTCATCCGTTTGTTCTAACGATCGTTTACGGCGTTTCATCCAATGTTCTAACGATGTTTCATCCGATGTTCTAACGAGCATTTCATCCGATGTTCTAACGAGCGTTTCATCCGATGTTCTAACGATCAGTCTATCATCGTTTCATCCGTTTGTTCTAACGATCGTTAATGGCGTTTCATCCGATGTTCTAACGATCAGTCTATCATCTCTTACAGAAGTCTTCTTTGGTTGACCTGATCTAATTGAATTTTCTACCGCTTTTTGCTGGTTCATTCGCTTAACAATCATCCTTTCACCTTCTGCACTCATTCCAAATATCTTTGCTACTTCTCTCAATGACTTTCCTTCCTCCTTAATTAAATGATAAATTTCAATCCTGGTATCAGTCGAAGTTTCACGGTGTGCCATCTCAAAAAAGTTTATTTTGTCAATATGACGTTTTACACAAATAGTGACATTTAAAATGCTTATTTAAAATATTGTTTAACTTAATTAAGCCATTATTCTGCTCATTTCATTAACTTACCGGTGATTATATATTAAAAAAAACACTTGTCAACAGACTTTTGGATTTAGCCAAATTTATAAATCGTGATATATTAACTTATCTATTTATATTTTTTGCTATTTTTGTAATACTTTTAAAATATAACTGTATTTCGAAGGGAATTTTGCAATATTTTGCTTTTCTTTTTGGTTTTTGATTGGGATACAGAAGTTTTTCACAAAATATACGCCTGTCAACTCACTTTTGAGCATCACTGTATGTGAATGATTTTTCAGTTAGCTTAGAAATGTATTAAATATTTATTGTTAAAGGAGTTAGGTTTGTAGCAATTTTTTTTAAATTTTTAATAAGAACTTTTTTGTGACAACACTTCTATATAATTTGTATTTGTTTATTTGGAAGGTTTTAGAAAAGTTGAAATTGTAAATTTTCCATATAAGCATTTAAAGTAAGGAAGACATAAATTTAAGAATAGGGAAAATAGCAGTTTCGTTAAATTTAGTCTTAAAATCCCAAATGCAGTTAGATAGGGTGGTAGACTTTGTGTATTTAACATTATTAAATGGTAAATGATTTTATATCTTATCATCTTTTATTAATCCATTATAAAATTTGATGAGCTGATTTTTAGCTGCAATGATGATTTTGTAAATTTTTTTGATCTAAACTTTCCATTCATGGGACACTCTGTCTTATTTTGATAATTGCATTTTACTTCATTATTTTCAATTTTTGAGGAAATAATTTTCCTGATATTATCAGTACAGCTGTAGCTTACTTTTACAGCGTTTCTGTGACACAGAAACACTATGACACAAAGTTAATGTTGCCATTAACTTTGTGTTAAGTTAATGTATACTAACTAATTAAAATGTTTTTTTTTGTTAAGTTAATGTAGATAAAAAATGCTTTAGCAACTTTTATGAAATGTTTTTTTTTAAATGATTGAACTATACAAATACTACAATTACAATTTTTTGGATTTTAAAAAAATATTTAAGGAAACTCTATCTGCTGTTTTTAGCACATGCTCATATATATATTTTTAAATTTAATATACATACCTAAGGCCAAAAGGCCATGAGGCTACTTAAATGTGGTCATAACCCTCTTTTAACTCTATAACTCCAAAACACGAACCTTGACAAACAAGTTGAGCCCAGTACTTCCAGAGAAGTGGTGGGGATCGAACTCGGAACCTCTTGCTTATGAAGTAAGCACTCTACCACTACACCACTACCACATATCCGATATTCATTTTTTCATTAAGTATTGTTTTATTCGATAAGTTTTGTGAAAGTCTATTCCAGTCTTCTCCGTTTAGCCAGTGCTTTCACGCTCACCCACACACTCGAAAAAACTTAAGCAAGTGCATAAAAAAGCCTTTCCAAAAATATAAAAGTGATTTGTTTTAAATTGCAACTAAACTTTTTTGTTCATTTGTTCAACTTTTATGAAAAATGGCTTATTTACCAGTTTATTTTTTAAACTATTCTGGTATTATTCTGGCACTCTTTTTGATGTTTTCATATTAATTTAAATAGCAGAAAAAATTGAATTTTTTAAATCACACAGGCGAACTTAAAAATGACCATCCTGCCAGCAGTTTTTTGTGCACTGGCATTAAATTTTAAATGTAGAAGACTGTTATTCTTAGTATATAGTTTTGTGAAAGTCTCTTAGCATATTGCATATTGAAGTAAGTGTTAAAGGTGACATTAAGGAAGTTGACTGATTCTATTAGAAATCCTACATTTTTCAATTTTTGGGTTATATTTTTTCGAGATCGCTCCCTTGGCCATTGGAACTTTATATTACTACCGATTCATCATCACGGTAAGTGACTGGGGTTGATATTTGACCGGGGCCGGGTTTGATAAAGTATAGACGGAGCTGAGGCAGGGTTTGTGACCGAGGCCGCATAAATATTTATACATCCTAAAGTATATTACTTTTATTCAAAATTAATGTTACATTTTGTATATATATATATATATGCATATATAAGCATTATGATGATGATTATCATAATCATCATTATCATCATTATCATTATTATGATCATGATGATCATCAACAGCATAAAAAGAGGAAGGCTAAAACCTGATGATCATGATCATGATCATCATCAACATTATTATCAGGCTTTAGCCTGTTCTATGCTGTTTCTCTGATATAAACAATCTAGAGCATTTTAACTAGAGCTAATTCATACAATATATAAGGCACTTTCTTCAAGTTTTTTTACTTCTACCACTACCATTTTCTACTGAAGTTGCTACCTCTCTGCAAGCTGATACCTAAACTACTTTAATCTTTTTTAACAAATGTTGTTCAATACAAAAAAATTTCTAATTTGTCTATGATTTTGTCTCCTTTTTTTTTGTCATGTCACACCACATATCTATCTGATCATCTTCTCTTTTGGCAAATACTACAAAATATATAAATACTAAAGTTTATATAAAAATAAAAGGATATTTATGCCAGCATCTAAATAAATAGCAAACATATATGTCTATATCCATAATATGTATGCATAAAGTGCATCTTGGAAGCTTTTATTTCTTCTGGAATAAAAGTTTGGAAGCTTTAATTACTTCTTTTTAAGAGCTAAAGTTATTTCTCAATTAAACACTTCTACAGTTTGTGCTCCAGAATAGATTTCCATCATAGTCTTAAAAACTTGTTCTCTCTTCAATTTTCGCTAAACTTTTAAAAATTGCTAAAAAATGGTTCCAATTTTTCAAAACTCTAGAAAACAATTTGACCTCTCCAACTGTCCCGCGATTAGTATTCACTCTGTTATTAGTTTCTTTATATAAAAGTTTTGAAGTTATTAAATTATTTTGAAGTTATTAAATTATTAGTGGTGTAGTGGTAGAGCGCTCGCTTCATAAGGGAGAGGTTCTGAGTTCAATTCCCACCATGTCCCTGGTAGTACCGCGCTCAACTTGTTTCTCCACGCAGCGGCCTTGTTCATTTGTGTTTTGGAGTTATAGAGTTGAGAGAGGGTTATAACTACAAGTAGCCTCCTCATGTAGTGGCCTTCTCGGCCTTGGGGAGGTGGAAAAAAAAAATTCTTTCTAACTGCAGTAGTGAAGTTATTCTTGATTGCCTAAAATCTTCTTTCAAGTAACTTTAAAGGTACCACAAGGTTCTATCTTTGCTTCTGCATTGTTTTTATTTACAATTTCAATCTTCATGAAAATTTTACATCTTAAGTGACTCTATTTGCTGACGACTCAACTTTATACTTTTGTCTTGACAAAAAATCTTTACTTTTTAATTGCTTAGAACAATTGATTTTTAATCTGATCACTCTTTTGTAATAGCCTAAGGTTTGCAGTGGCTTATGGATTAAAATTCTGGACTTATAATCTACAACTTTTGTTAGACAACAAAACTCAATTACTGCAAAAAAATATTGCAACATTGTTGGCATTCCTATATTGACGTATAACAATCCTCTTACTCTCAGACAAAGTCTAAAAAATATTATATGTCATAAATGTTATTAGACCTGCTTAGTCTGCCAAGGTTGAGCCACTCTCCCATTGTTGTAAGGTTACATTTCTTTTTTCTACAAATACAGTCATGGCCAATGCTCAAACGAGCTACCATTACAATAAATCAAAACTCATTCTTGTTTGGCTTTTTATTCAACAAGTTGCATCATTTTACTGAATCTGTCCCTTCATGCTAAAAAAACTTTTATTATTCCAGTTTTTTTCCTTGAACCTCAAAAAAATCAATAACTCTTACCCATCTTCATGTTTTCCTTTTTTATACAAGTTACAACTTTTTAAGACTTCAGTTATATGTTTCCTAGTATTTTAACTTATTCTCTAAAGTAACTCATAACCTAATAGTGGGAGCTTGCAATCTTGTTAAAATAAATAATATTTTAAAAATATAAAAATGTATGCCAGTATTTTATAAATAGTTAATGTAAGCATAAAATTATAATATATTAAGTATTATAATTTTTTTTTAAGCCCTAGCTATCAACCCCTGCTATAATTATAATTCTGGGAAAAATTATAATCCTATAATTTTGCTGGGGCTTGGGCCAGGTTTGGAAAAAATCTCATTTTTAGCCGGGCCCGGGATCCTGGTCCCTTACTATCATGGTATAGCCTGTGATAATGAATTATTAGTGTTGAATGACTATAAACTACAAAACAGTGAACGGTAGTAGGGTCAACTGTAATGAAATAAACATATGCTTTATATAGCTTTTTTTTATCTAAATTTATTAAAATAAATTTATTAATAAAAAACTATTGTAGTAATTAGTAAACAAACATACTTCATCTGTAAGTTGCTTGTTGCTTTCAGTTTCTATTGGTTTCAAGTTTGAACTCAATTGGTTTGCTATTGGAATTTCGCTAAATAAAAAAATAAAACACTATAAAATATTTTAGTTAATTTTAAATTAAATTTTTTTTTTTTCTTACCCTTTCCTTGATGTCATGGTTCCTCTTAGAGGAATGGTAAATTCAGCAAAGATTCCACGATGGCGCATCATTGACTCCCAAATTAAAACTTCTTTATCAATACAGTCATGCCAATATTCATCGCCATGAGATAAACCTAGTCGCATACCTGCTAAAAATTGATGACTAGAAGAATCATGGTCCCAAACAGTAACTTCAAGAACACAAGATTGCAAGTCCTCTACACTAACTTGATTAAATTCTAATTTCTCATTCCAAACTGGGTTTTGAGTTTTCTTTTGCACTGTAGTTTTACGCTTCGATTTGCGTGTTCTATCTGGTAACAAATAACTGAAAAAAATTTCATGAAATTACTTTTCAGTACAAAATTAAAAATCTAAAAGATTTTTGTTAACAAGTTTTAAAAAAAATATTGATATATTTATCTAACATAATAAAAAGTCAATATTTCATTGTAGATCAAGGAAATAATTAGAAACCATAACTATAATACTGAGTAGTGAAACAAGTCCTAATTATATAATTTTTTTTTTTTTTTTTTAATTTAAATATATTTGTCTTTAGTCCTTAACACTAAATAATAAAAATAGATTTGTGTCGACCAATATGTTGTGTCAAGTAGACTTTTGCCAACCAAGAACTAGTGTCAAGTAGATTTGTGGCAACCAAGAACTAGTGTCAAGTAGATTTGTGGCAACCAAGAACTAGTGTCAAGTAGATTTGTGGCAACCAAGAACTAGTGTCAAGTAGATTTGTGGCAACCAAGAACTAGTGTCAAGTAGATTTGTGGCAACCAAGAACTAGTGTCAAGTAGATTTGTGGCAACCATTAATGGGAGTATTAAATCTGTTTCATTATAATAAAAAACTTTTAAATATTTTATTATAAATTTGTCAATGTTTTCCTTTAAGGCAAATCATTATGTTTAGAAATTATGTATTGTAGGCATATCATTATATTTTAAACTTGTGTATTGAAGACATTAAAATATGCAACAATTTACTATGTATTAAAGGTAACAAAATTATATATTAAAGATGGTATAAAAATAATAAACTAACCATCTTACGAAAGGATTTATTAATTTATCTGGATTAACTTGAGGTAAACCAACAGCATCTTTAACAACAAAGGTGAGAACATTGTTATCATATTTCAAAGCTACACGCAATTGACCTTTACTTTCATTGGTTGAACTTACACTTACTAATGTCTAAATTTCAATTGTATTTTATTTTTAAGAACTTAAACTTAAATGCACACACACAAAAAAAGTATTAAACTAACCATCTCTTGGAGAGTGTACCAGATACTTTTTTCAGTATCTAATGAGTTTGTTTTTGAGTACTGCTGTATATTTACTTGAACTTCGCCCAAGAAATCGTTGCGTCCAAATCGATCATGATTCCAAATAGATACTTGCAGAACTTTTTCAAGTAACTCATCCTTGCTTAATTTGTACTAGATTTAAAAAAACATTTCTAGAAACATTTTATAATACCATGCAAACATAATATAAATACAATAATACAAATGCCTTTACATAATAACAAAAACTTCAAGATTATAATAAAAAGATAATAACTCTAAAATACTAAAGTCCTTAATAAAACAATAAAAAAGAATTTTTTTATTGTTTATTTATTGAATAGTTTTATATAAAAAAATTCAAAAAAAACATTCCATGATATTAATAACTACTATAAAATATTTTAAAACAAAAATAATCAAATGTAAATATTACACATTTAATATTTATAAACAAAATATTTATCAACAAGAATAATCAAATTGAAATATATTATATATTTAAACAGTAATAATCAAATTTAAGTACATTATACATTTAAATTTATAAACAGTAATAATCAAATTTAAAAATATCAATTAAAATAACTATTATATATTTAAAGTATAAACAATTTAAAATGATATTTAATAATAACTTTTATAACTTAGTTTTTAAATTATATGTATTGTAACACCATGTAATAAAAACTTTAAAACAAAAATTTTGTTAAAAAAAGTATACTTTTATGTTATAAAAACTTTAAAACAAAAATTTAAAATTTTACTTTTATGGTTTCATTCCACTGAGGATTTAGAGTTTTTCTTTTATGTGTTGTTTTCTTTTTAGTTGATTTTGATTTGTCTGGTAGTAAATACACTTTAACATATCTAAATTGAAAATATTCAGTATTGAAGGAAAACATAGACTTCAAAACTACAAAGTTTATAAAAACAAACTTAACTATCTTGAAAATTGCAAAAAGATCTGATTCTTACATGTTGACTTTTTTTAATTTCTTGTTTATTTAATCAATTAACTTCAAATATGTTTACAATTATATGCTGAGTGAGGTTTAACTTAGCACAATTATGAACAATATTAATTTTTTTTAAAAATTGGTCAATACAACATTATCTAGAGAAGCCTGTCAACATTTTTATACATACTACTGTGTATATATACAATACATGCTGTATATATACAATATATGCTGTATATATAAAATATATGCTGTATATATACTATAGTTTGTTTCATGAGTTATTAAACTGTGGGGTTTTTTTAATCAAACCTTTAAATCCTTAATGCTCAAAGTAACTTTTTTCCAGCACTCCTTTCACTATTTTTTTAATTGGAACTGAAATTTGGACCTATTAATACTTTCATGGTTAAGTTTTTTTATAGATAAAAATTTTAGAAAGGATTTCTTATCAAAAATATAAGTTTTCTTCTCTTCCTATATCTCAAAATGTGCATCCTTCTAGTACACAGTATATAAAGTTAAACTTTAAAATATAAAAGAAAGAAAAAATTTGAAAAATATAAGATTTTTTAAAATACTATCAAACTATTTCATTAGTCAATATTGATAGTTATAAAAAGATAAATAAAAAAAAATTATTTTATACAATATGTTTGAGTATTTTTTTATCATCGAATCTAAATTTACAGGTACATGGTTACTAAAAATTTTTGATACGATTTGATTAAGTTGATGTTGAACTAAAAAAAGAATAATAATAATGGATTACTAAAAAATTTTGATATGATTTGATAAAGTTGATGTTGAACTAAAAAAACAATAATAATTTTTTATGCCTACTCTGAAACTCACATATTAACTTAAAACCTAAAATCAATAAATTTCAATAAGCAGCTGTTGGATTACTTTTGCAAAAGATTGCGATAACTCTTGGATTCAATTTAAGATCCAAAATATCAATCTTAAGATGACGATGAAAGATTTTGTATACACTGGTTCTGACAGTGACTCCTATCAAGAGTCTAGGACTAAATGTAATTGAAAATCTTTTGTGTATTTTGTCTTTTTCCTGAGTTGTTTTATTCAGAGACCATTACACCTCTTTTGAAGCCTGTACAATTGCTTCCCATGCTCCCAGATGTTTCTTCTGGGTTCCTTATCCTCTGCTATGTAAAAAATGTTGCAAAAAATAGCCATTGGCTGTACTTTGGTTAACACTTTAGTTGTACTTTGGTTGATTTTTCTAGAAACATCTGCGGTAGATACAAATGAAAAAAAACAAACTAAGTGTATGTGAAGAAATTGCTCAATTTCTTTAAATCTTTTGAAATTTGAAAAAACTAATAACCATTTTTTAAAAAAACTTTTTTTGAAAAAAAAAAAATTATAAAAAAAACTTCTTGAATTATAAAGGAAACTTCATGCCACCTCTTGAAATAAAATACAAATGAGTGAAAACTACAGGAGAGAAGAAAAATCACACATATACAAACATCTCCATGCTAACAATAATTGTTTTTATAATTATAATAATGGCTGTTTCTCGATATCGAATCCTGCATCCAATAAATTTGAGCTTATGATTAAGGTAAGTTTGTTTTTTAAATGGAAAAATCCAGATATGAACAAACAGTTAAACCATTATAAAATATCACTTTTCACATAATAGTTACCATTTTATTAGTCATTAACCTTTTTTTAAATAATTTAATAACTTTTATTGTATTTTTTGCTATTGCCTAATTTGTCGTAATTTATAAAAAAAAATTGGAATTTATATTATATTACCGTAGAATATTTGTAAATAAAATTAAAAAGTTTATTTTAACTGAAAAATGATTTTTATTAATAAGTGGAAAAAATTAGTTAAATTTCTCAATTGTTTAATTTATATTGTGCAAATAATTTTGGAAATATCGAGGGTGCTCAGTCAGCTTTGAGTTGGGAAAGATGTCTCTCACCATTTTTACATGACAAATGCATTTTAATGCTGAACCAAAGTGGAGCATAAACCTTTACAATATATGTGACCAAATGTTGAAGATTGATCGAAGGCTCTTTACTAGTGACATACAGATGTAACACCCTATTGGCTGTGATAAGTCGCCGTAAATGATTTAAAACTCCAGGATTTCTCTTAGAACCCGCAAACATTCTCCTTTTGATACGGCTTCACACATCTCCCACAGATATTGTTGATCGGTGCTGAGATTTGTTAAAATAATGATTGGCAGAATCACTTCGATTTAATCAAAAACATGTCTGGCAGTTGCTAGCGCTTTACCAATCAGTCCACTGATATACTACACTACATATACTACAATATACTAGAATACAACATCTTTCTAGTATTCCGCACTGTCACCATTCTGTACTGTTTACAACTGATGATATTCTGATGGTGATTTCCCTCTTTTGTATACTACAGTCTACAATCCACAAACATTAAACTATAATGCAGGTTAAACTTTTATTTCACTTTCATGTAATTTAAATCCATTTTATAAAAATTATTTGTGTTTTTCAAATTCAAATCTATTTTATAAAAATTATTTGTGAATGATAAATGAGTCAGTAAAAATAGAATACTATTATGAACACTATTCAGAATATTCAGAATACTATTCTAAAAATTAAATATTAGTTTATTCTTTCAAATAAAAATGTAAGTAAAGAGTTGATATTAAACAGAAGATTTAGTTTTGTATCTTTGAGAAACAAATAAGATTAAGCAACAAAGCATTTGAACATTGTATTACTAAATGCAAATTTAACAAAATCGGTTTATTTTTATTGATTTTATGCCTACTTTGATGAATTATGCCTCGGTCAATTTTCATTGCAATGGCTTTTGGTCTGTAATTGTAGGATCAATTCTACCATATCCAACATTATTATTTGGATGTCTCATGTACATCCAACAGTAAATCTGCTCAAATGCTGCACAAAATGGAAACATGTGAATTTTTTGTGCCAACCCCCTTACAACTCAAAGCTTACTGAAGACCCTCTAAATCACAATCCCACTGAAACTTTTACACATTACTTATAATATGTCAGGGCAACTTTTCCTCACTGTTATATATTTTTACAAAGATAATTAAAAAAATCACTGCGTCCTAATATATATACTCTTGGTCGTCTTTAAGTTTTTACCATAGAATGTCAGTTTTGGTTTTTTTAAAAAAAAAAATTATTTTAAAGACCGGAAAAAATTTTTTTTTTTTTTAATTATTTGATAGACTGTCTGCCCCAACCAAACCCTCAGTTGATGTAGCAATACTCCGTTGCGAGTCAGGCTATAAGATAGTCGATTTAGCAACACTCAGTGCATGTTTTACAGTAATATAGTAAAAATAAAAATATTCAGAATGTTTTTATTTTTTAAAAATAAAAAAAAAAACAATTAGAATGTCTTAAAAAACATTCTAGAAGTTTATGGAAATTAGCAAAATTTAGACTATGTAAGCGGCCTGATTGAACAACACTAATAATTATAAATGTACTTGTGAAATGGCAGTCAAATAATAAAGAAGTACAATACCACTTATTATTATTAATGCCTTTCATTATTTATGCCTTTTTATTTTTAAAGCTTTTCAGTACAGTAGCACTTATTATTAATAATGCCTTCCAAAAATATATTCAAGTATTATCTTCAGTCATAATGTCCTACAAGAAAAGTGCTTCCACTATTGAAAGAAACAAGACAATATGGATAAAGAATCTCATACGATTTTACAAGTCACATAGAAAAAGGAAACCTGTTCCACTAGGAGAACAATCACTGGAAGATAACAGCAGGATACAACCTAAAATCCAAATGTTGGTTGCTATCTGTTCGTAGGAGAATCCATCAAAGGGAGACAAGAATGCATAGAGCAAAGTAAAAAAAAAAGTAGTTTATGGTAAAAGAAATTAAATTTTTTACATTTATCAATTCAAATCATATAAGCAAAACTGAATCAAGTGCTGAAGATGTATGATAAATGTGTAAAACAAAGAAAATCCATTTAATGAAGTTTTTGACTTCACAAAAAAAGATTACAATGGCTCTACAGTGAGGATAAAAAATTATATTAATCTTCAGATTGAAAGCAAAGAACAGGTCGGTTATAAAACTGGGAAGGCTGCTAACTAAAAAAACTATTCATTCATCCAAAAGAAAAAAATGTCCTTGAAACCTACTTCAACAAAAGTAATGGCAACAGCAAAAACACTAAAATCTGAGTCTGAGGCAGAATATCAAGAGTCTGAAGATTCAGAAGTACAGTCCACGAGTACCAGCAAGAACTACAGCAATACCAAATCTGCAACCAAATTAGTAACATCTTCAAAGAAAAAAATTTTCAAAGAACTCTTATTTTACTAAGTAGCTCTTTTTTTATTAGCCTGGATTTCTTTCAAAAAAAAAAAATCTTATTTGGCTCTAATTTATTGATAATTGGTTTTCTTCTTGATCCTTTAGCTTGTTCGATAAATAGAGTCTTCTTATACCATTTTATAACCATATATGTTTTTATAACAACAGCAGAACTTATATAGCTTTAGAGACTGTTTGTAGTTCCATAAAATAATTTTTTTTCTGATTTTCAACTTGTTTCAATAACAGTAAATTATAATTTAATTTCTTTTTTTTTTATATATTTTTTGACAACTACTTGAATAAAATAATATTGTGTTTTCTTTTTTAATGTTTTAGTAATTTATTTTGAAAGTGGTTTCCGTTTCTCTCTTTTTTAATCTCAAACAAACTCATGTTTATTTTTATTATTTACACTTTGCACATATTCATGGTGGCCACAAAATTTTAAAAGTTAAATTCCAGGACGTTTTGAGGACATTCCAGGACATTTTGTTGCGTTTTCCAGGACATTTTATATCCTATTAAATGAATATTATTAATTATCTTTTTTTAATTTTTCATATTGATTGAATTATAGAATAAAATATTATACTAGTATTAGAGTTTAAAATAATTTGGCAACATATATATATATATATATATATATATATATATATATATATATATATATACACATATATATATATATGCAATTATCAGCTATTGATTCAATGGCTGATGATTGTCGTATAAGCATGAAACTTAAAGTACCATAGAAAAAGTTTTTTTTTTCTTTGTTTTTATATATATATATATATATATATATATATATTAGGGTGATGCAAAAAACAACTTTTTAAAAAATAGTCTCCTGCTCTTAACTAAATGTGTCCTATATAATACAAAAACACTATGTTCAAAGTTTTTTTCAATAAAAAATATTTTTAGGGGTGCCTCAAGACCCTTAAAAATTTGATTTTCTAAAGTATGTCAACCTGGTACTCAAAAGAAGCGAAATAATATAAAAACTTAAAAAATAATAATCAATTTACATAAAAAACATGTTTTAATAAACTATTTTAAAAAAACTTGAAAATATTGACTTTTTTTTTATCACCTTAAAAACAATAGTTTTTAGGCAATTATATCTGAAAAAAATATTTTCATGTAAATTGATTATTATTTTTGAAGTTTTTATATAATTTCGCTTCTTTTGAGTACCAGGTTGACATACTTTAATAAAACTTTTTTTTTTTTTAAACATTAGGGACCTTTCAAATATTTAAGGGTCTTGAGGCACTCCTACAAATATTTTTTATTCAAAAACTTTGAACCTAGTGTTTTTGGATTATATAGGACACATTTAGTTAAGAGCAGGAGACTATTTTTTTAAAAGTTGTTTTTGCATCGCCCTAATATATATATATATATATATATATATATATATATATATATATATATATATATATATATATATATATATATACAAATAGTATTGCGTACTAAGGTAAGCAATCTGACATCATACTGAAATAGCCTGCTGCTGGGGGCTTCAGTACATACATCGACTGACAAATACGTGACTCGCAGTGGAGTGCTGCTACATCGACTGAGGGTTTGGGATGGGGCAGCAATCGTTTCATTCATCATTCTTCGCTTTTTTTCCTTCTTTTTCTAAAAAAGCCGTATGGGTTAAGGTAAACAAAAAAAGTGAGCAAATGCTTATAAAAATATTCTTTAGTAAGTGTGTGTGTGTATATATATATATATATATATATATATATATATATATATATATATATATATATATATATATATATACATATCTACTATAGTATATTTATATGCACAATTGCTCACTTTTTTGCTAGCCCAAACTAAATGAGCGTTTTTAGAAAATGATGAGGGAAAACGAAGAATAATGAATGAAAAGGTTGCTGACCCATACCAAACCCTCAGTCAATGTAGCAGCACTCCACTGCAAGTCAGGCTATTTGTCAGTCGATGTATGTACTGAAGCCCCCGGATGCAGGCTATTTGACGTTAGGTGAGTATGACATCATTACGCTCACCTAACTCAGCAGTATAAGATATATATATATATATATATATATATATATATATATATATATATATATATATATATATATATATATATATATATAAAGCCTCTTTTCAAAACTTAAAAGTCTCTTTTCAAAATTAAAAATTTTTTTTTTCTGTCAGTGATAACTAGAAAGAAAAAAGTAAATTAATATATTGGGGCCTCTAACACATAAGTTGTCCTGCGCCTTTTTTGATTTCAACCCCTTTATATATACATAATAGTTAAACAGAATTTTTTTTCTTGGAATCATACTCTTTAATGGAACTTTATAAACAAAAATATTTACAAAAAAGAAAAATAAAACTCAAACAATAGAATCTCTTTTTAAACATAAAACTTTTTCCTAACTATCAAGCTCTTGCAATTTTAAAAGTTTATCTTTTGATAACTTTCTTAAATCATTTGAAGTAACTATAAAACTGAAATCCTTTTTTTCCTCTGCTTTTAATGCATATTTATCTGCTTCTTTTATTAAATCATCAGCTGATGTTTGAAGTTGTTTCTTTTTTTGAACAACATCATCAATTTCAATATCTCCTTAACTTTTTTTTCACTTTCCAACGCAACTTTATATCATATTCTTGATGATTTAACAGATTTCATATCAATTGTATACAGACCAATATCAATTGTATTTTCTCTTTAGTATAACATTTGATCTGATAGATTTAGTTTCATTATTTTCTTAATTGTATCAGATTTTTCTAATACATCATTCAATAAAAACATACTGAGAATGTTAACTAATATGCTTTTTAAAACATCAAATAAAAATGGGACCATTGGTTTATCACTTTGAAAACCTTTCAGAAATAGATTTAACTTTTCAGTTATAAATTCAACAAATTTTAATTTAGCAATAAACAAAGGATCTTTTATTGTATCTTTGAAAATATTAAACCACTTTCTATGAGGTTGCTTTGATTTTGGTAAACTTTGTAAGTGTTCAATAAACTTTAAATATCCAGGGAAAACACTTGCTGCTCATTCACAACAGTTTTGATTCTCACACTAACGATAGCCACAATTAGGTAAAAGGTACACCTTCATCTCAGAAACATTTTCATAGATCTCTCTATGTGAAGGACATTCATTGAGAAACTTCCACATTGCTTTCAATTTTACACCAAGCTTCCATTCAGATTTATTGATTGATGTTTTTAGGCTTCCATGAATTGTATGGAGGCCACACGCGCCAATATCTATTAAGGCTGGATACTCATTAAGTTCATGATTATCTTTTATAAGCCCTAATAGCTTTGAATTGACATTATGCCATCTGAAGATATCTAAATCATTTTTTTGCATGTTAAGTTGAGATACACCTTGGTTAAAAGATTTTAATAATTGTTCTGAGTTTGCACCTCCTAAAAATTGTGAGTCAAGATATCTTGTAAAAACCTGATTTGAATCATGGTTCCAGAATCCTACAATAATGATTATTTGACCTTTTTGCATAGTCCGATTTAATAACTCATCAAATGATACTACAAAAACAGGCGATAACAATATTTCTTTATATAACAAATCAAGAAAGTATGGTGCAATGCCCAACTTTGTGATATATCCACACTTTTGACCTAGCTGAAACTTTTTTGCAATGTTACTACCAAAAAACATTGATATAAAAAGTGACTTTAGTCCTTCACATGATCTTTGAAAAGATTTTGATAAATCCACATGTAATAACTATCTAATTTCAGCAGTTATTAATTGTTCATTTACAAATACCATATCCAATGTTTTAGAAGTGGGTGGCTTTTCAATAACCTGAATTGTACTAGTTTTTAAAGGTGATGAAATAATCGATTCTGAGAAATAATTGCATAATGAACTTGATGCAGGAGGTAATACTTTATTATGTTTTTTTACTTTTAAGATGACTTTTTAATGCATTTTCACCCTTATTTCTAACATTAATGTCTTTTTAACAAAAAGAACATGATGCAACCATCATACTTTTTTTAATAATCCAATTTTTATATTCAGGTGCTTGCAACCATGTATTTGAAAAATGTGAATCTTGAGGCATTCTGCAATTTATACTTTTACTATTTACACTTTTTCTAAAATTAAATTTGCATATTTAGGTAATCAAAATAAAACACACTTGGAAAAATCCAGGACATTCCAGAACTGTGGCCACCATGATATTGCAAAATAAATATTGTGTTAATTGAAAGCATTCAGCATTAGAAAAAATGAAGGTATTATTAATTCAATTTTACTTAAAATCAGTTTTAAATTTATTGTAATTTAAACACTTTTGCAACCACTTTTTGAATCACTTTTCTATAAAAGTAGTTTATCCCAATTTTATGTATATTTTAAAAATACATTTTAAAAATACATAAATTAATAATAACAAAGTCAAAAAACATACGGATCCGAAGAATGGAGCTTGGAGTTTGCTGCAGCAATTTCTTTAGCTTTCTCAATATTTACAGAGAATATTCCTGAAAGACTGTCATATTTCAATGAGAACAATATTTCACCAGTTATTATTAAATTTCGTTGTTCTCCGCCTTGTGAACTGTAAATGCTTAGCATTGATCCAGAACTTGCCTATAAATAATATATGTAATTAGTCTAATAAATAATTAAAAAATACTTGTTTACATAAATTTAAACTTTATACACACACATATTCATTTATTTGTATACTTTACAATTTTACAACAAATGGTAATATAAACTACAAAGAAGATTATTTGTTTGTTTAATTAGTAAAAAAAAACTAAAAAATAATCTTAAACTACTGAAGTTACTAAGGTGTCATTTTTAGGTAGTTTAAGGTTAAAAATGGGCATCAGGTTTTAAAAGTTTTTCAATAATAGTCTTAAAAAAATCATTAAACCAAAATATTGAACAAAACCCAAATGACACATGTAAGAATAAAAGTATATAAACTATAATAATAATAAAGTAAAACATTGTTGTTTATAATTATACTTTATTTCAGAATTAAAAAAGTACTTCTAAAAAAAAAAGAATACAAACAAATAAAACCACAACTAAAAAAAATGAATATTAAAAAAAAAAAAGAATACAAACAAATAAAACCACAACTAAAAAAAATGATTATTAAAAAAAAAAAAGAATACAAACAAATAAAACCACAATTTAAAAAAAAAAAATGATAACAAACAAATAAAACCACAAACAAACAAAAAAATAAGAATACAAATAAAACCGCAACTATAACAAAAAAAGAATACTACCAAACAAACAAACAAAACAAAAAAGAATACAAACAAATAAAACCACAACTAAAAAAAAAGATTACTAACAAACAAAGATAAAAATACACATTACAAGCATTTCTTAAGAACAACAACAATTAAATATAAAGACTATTAAAAAAATACTTTGTGTAAATTAAAAAAAACAAAACATAAACAAACATATTTAAAAAAACTGTGAAAAAATTTTATGTGTTAAAGTTTTTTTTATCAAAAACCATTAGAAATTTTATGCATTAAATTTTTTTATCAAAAATCATTAAGGAAAAAAAAATCTACTTTTCTTTTGACTGCTTCAGCAGAACATGTACAATACATAATAGAATAAACTAGTCTTCTGTACATCTTGCTTGGGTTTACCATTATTAACTAGAGTTTGCTAAACTTTCAATTAAAAAAAAAAATTGGAAAAAAACAAACACCAAATAATTGGAACGAGAAATCTCTGCTAAACAAATCATTTTTTTTTTAATTTTAAAGCATGCTATCAAACTTAACAAAAAGTTAACAAAATTAAAGACAATTAAAGTGTTACAGAAGTAAACAATAGAATAGAAGTTAGTATTAATGAAAACAAAAGACAGGATATAAAGTTATTTTTAAACTTAATCCATTAACAAGAAAAAATAATGATAACAGAAGAATAAAAGATATTAACAGCATGAGCATTGTTAAAAATTTTGTTGACAATTTTGTTAAATTTTTTTTAACTTAATACATTATAACATCAACTTAATACTAAATAAACAATAGTAACAAAAATATACTTTAATACAATAAAAAAGTAATCAACATGTACTATAAATAAACAAAAGTAAAAATAATTTAATACAACAAAAAGTAGTCAACATTATAAATCTACATATTAATTGTCAATGTAAACCTTTAGATAACTAATAAAAATGGAATTCAAGTAAAAAAATTTGAATTTATGAACTTAATATTTTACAAGATCAAATTGAAAAATATACCAAAAATAATTTTAAGTTCAAAAAAATTATAATAAAAAATGCATTTATAAGATTTTAACACCCAAAAACCTTGAAAACTTTATACAATTAACAATAGATACATTTTGAACAACTTTTAAAATTTTTTTTTACTTGGCTATTATTTATATTTTTTCTATTATTTAATGATATGCTTACAGAAAAAAACATCAAAAATGTTCTCCAGAAAATGTTTTTACTATGAGAAATGCTTTTGGAAATGCTTTTATTTCCAGATGTTTGCATTATTTCTTATAAAATACAAAAATTGACAAAAACTTTTTGTTAATTTTGATTTATTTATTTTTTCCAAAAAAAAGTTTTTCAAGATTATATTATTAGGCCACTGCATCAAGACTTAATAAGAGTTACCCTGAGAGACTTAATAGGAGTCACCCTGAGAGACTTAATAAGAGTCACTCTGAAAGACTTAATAAGAGTCACCCTGAAAGACTTAATAGGAGTCACCCTGAGAGACTTAATAAGAGTCACCCTGAAAGACTTAATAGGAGTCACCCTGAGAGACTTAATAAGAGTCACCCTGAGAGACTTAATAAGAGTCACCCTGAAAGACTTAATAGGAGCCACCCTGAGAGACTTAATAAGAGTCACCCTGAAAGACTTAATAGGAGTCACCCTGAGAGACTTAATAAGAGTCACCCTGAGTGACTTAATAAGAGTCACCCTGAGAGACTTAATAAGAGTCACCCTGAGTGACTTAATAAGAGTCACCCTGAGAGACTTAATAAGAGTCACCCTGAGTGACTTAATAAGAGTCACCCTGAAAGACTTAATAGGAGTCACCCTGAGAGACTTAATAAGAGTCACCCTGAGTGACTTAATAAGAGTCACCCTGAGAGACTTAATAAGAGTCACCCTTGATTTTGTTCTTATACTATAAATATATAGACTTAAAAAAAAATAAACTTGCAAAAGTTAATAATCATTTAGGGATACCAATTTAAGTATATTTGTGATCACGTAATTTAGGAACGAGGAGCGTTATAATTTATAATATCTAAACATAATAATTAGAATAACAAAGTCAGTTAGTTTGCAGTAACTTTTGTTTTAACTGGATTATTGTTTTTTTATACTTTTTGTTTTACACTAGAAATAATTACACTAGAAATAATGTGAACAAACTATTACTTAATACAAGTTACATACTTATTACATTTTTATTACATTTACTAACTCATTAGCTTTTAAGAATAAATGTATTTGCAGTTTATTTTTGTTTAAAGGTTTGATTGATGCAAAAGTTATTATTTATTTTAAAAAGTTTTTTTTCCTGTTAAATTAAATAATTTTGAAAGGTATATTAATTATATACCTTTATACTTATCTTATACCTTTATATATATATATATATATATATATATATATATATATATATATATATATATATATATATATATATATATATATATATATATATATATATATATATATATATATATATATATATATATATATATATATATATATATATATATATATATATATATATATATATATATATATATATATGTTAAAGAAAACAATAAAAAGTTTAAGGACTCATAATGAAAACAAGAGATATGCTGGTTTGCCATCTGAGCTTCCAATTAGTGATCTTCCAACAGGCAAGTGGTTCAATACTCCTACTTTATTTAAAAAAACATAAACAGTGTCAGAAATATTAATTCTCTAAAGATTGTTTCAAAAGTTGCCAGTGACAACTTATTGATCTGTGGAACTAAGTTAATCCTAAGCTGCCTCTGATACATGAGAAGTCAGTAACCAAAAAATGTTTTAGACTTTTCATCAAAGTATTGTCTGTAGAAGGTAAATTCAAAAATGTAAATAAAACAAGAAGTATTTTGATTGTAATTTTGAGCGTTTATTTGATTTGTTGTCATGTAATTGTGGACTTCCAGTAGTAGCTTGCATTGATAGGTAAGAAAGACCTATTTTTATTTTAATATATTTTAAAATAATAATTATTATAAAATCAAAACAAATATTATAAAACAATTTCAGAATTTGCATTAATACTTTTCATTAAAATTTTTTTGGGGGATAAATAAACTCTTTCTTCACAGATCTAAAAGTCTTTTTATAGATCTGTGAAGTGTAGGAACCCACCAGATTGCAAGACAAGACATTTTACTTGTTTCTGTGAAGTTAACAACAAGATTAATAAATTGAGATTATAAAAACTATTCTAATTTATATCTCTAGTTTGTTAAACATAAAGTAGTCAGAATCAAAAGTCAGAAAAAAAATTACTTTTCTTTGACTTTGAAAACAAATCATTTTGTTATATTATATAATATTATTAAGAAACACATCATTCTAATATAACACAATAATATATTATATATGTATTTATTTACTTGACTTTTACATGTCTTCCTAATATATAATATACTTATTTTTAATTGACTTGGTGTACAGTAATTGTGAAAGTACAGTTAAACGTGTAACTTTTCTTTTCTCAAACATATATTATAACTTTTATGTTTTACAATTAAAAAAAGTTTTAAATTTTTTAGGTACCACTATCAGATAAAGAATATTTGAAAGATCAAAATTGAAAATTGGAACTATTGGAAGATTTAAAATCGGTATGATTGATAAAAAAGCAGTTGCTAAAGAAAAAAGAAAGCAAGACCGTGAAATCAATGAGCAGATAAGATCTGCTAACTCCCTTAATCTAGAAATTCAATGTGATCATTTTATGAATAGTGATTTAGATTATAAAAATGACTCAGAAAAAGATCCTGACTTTTTCATAACTGCACCAGCTGAAAGAAATCAAACTTATTTAACAAACTTGGCAAAAGCCGCTATAAGGTTTGAAATAAGCATTGTTGCAACAGTTGCATTGACAACAGCTATATTGACTATGGAATTGTTAAAGAAAGTAATAAAGCACATATAATAACAGAAAAAAATATATTAGGGGAAAAAAAATAATTAGCAGCATCATAAGCTCTAAACATTTAGCTGACGTTAAAGAACTAGAGGTTATTGGAGTTAATGGGAAAAGAGACTACATTAACACATTCTATCAGGTATAATGTTTATGGAGATCCAGTCATTGTTGCTGCAATCAAAGAAGAATACCATCTAACAGTAGAGAGTGGATCCACATCACAAAGTTATTTCATGTAGCTATACCTAATGGAATTGGTGCAACCATGGCAAATGCTACTGTTAATGTTTTATTGGAATATAACAGTGTTCAGAGTTTAATAGTGGTTATTTTAGATAATAAAAGTTCAAATACAGATTGCGATAGCAGTTTGGTTGTCAAACTTGAAAAAATTATAAACAAAAACTTACA